AAATAGTCATACCAAATTTCGCGGCACTACGCGCCGCGGTTTTCCCGCTATTCGCGAAAAACCTCAGGGGGGGGGGGGGGGCGGATATCCGCCCCCCCGTCGGTGCGCGGGTTAACCCTCGCCCGTATTGGTGTTTTGCTAGCTCGGCGAACGTAGGTATATGGGGGGGGGATCCCTTGCCGTTTGGCAAATGGTAGCTGATCGAGCTAGGGCATCGCGGAAAAAAAAACGAGCGTGTTGCCCGTGACAAGAGGAAGCCGATGCTACCCAATTTTAAGGTCCCAGGTCATTGGTTGACTTCCAGGTCAGGTGAATGACCTAGAATTCGTGAAAATCGGGACCTGTTAAAATGTCTTTTAGTGTGACTGCTTCGTTTTCTTTTGGGTGCTGATCACGAATATCATGTTAGTATTGATCACAAATGATGTCTTCATGCATTTAAGCCAGGTCGGGTCAGGTCAGGTCAGGTCAACCAGTAGGGGTCTTGCCGGGTATTCGTAGTACCTACGTGTCAACCGCTTCTGACAGATTCGTCACATGTAACGAAGGCACCAAAACCATTTTGTTAATGTTCAAATGGTTGCCAAATTCGAATTCAGCTCCAAAGATTAGTCTAGAAACATGCAAAACTCGAAAAAGTGAACCGAGGTCATCAAAGGCTAATGACCTGATCTGACCTTCAGGTGACCTTGACATCCACCTTAATGCATGGGACCAATATCAAATCACATGTTTGAACGTTTGAACTTTGAAACCACGAAAAGACTGCAAACGCGCGGCTAATGCGAGCCGACGTACGCTGAAGCGCGATTCCGGCCAAACATGGTCTCATGAAATACGTCACAGGTCAAAGGTCATTTTGGCCAGGTTCATGAAGTTGTAAGGATAGATATAAAATTGATAAACGTACTGAAAGTATCATTGCGATCGGCCGCTTTTTACGCGACTTATTCGCGAAAAACCGAGGGGGGGGGTCCATTCGACTCCCCCCCCTTACGGGCGAGGGTTAAAAATTAAATTGTTATGGGTTGCTAGGTTTACGTTTTTTTCAAGGCTAATCTGAGGAGCCTGAGTGCTGCGTCCGTCAGAAAAGGCGGTTACAGCACAGAGTTCGCCTATAGAGCAGCTGGCGGGGTGGGCCTTCCTATGGCCGTCAGGCTGTCCTGTAGCCGTTCTATGGCCGTCCAATGGCTGTCCTGTAGCCGTCCTATGGCCGTCCAATGGCTGTCCTGTATCCGTCCTATGGCCGTCCAATGGCTGCTCTGTTGCCGTCCAATGGCTGTTCTATGGCTGTCCTGTAGCCGTCCTTTGGCCGTCCAATGGCTGCTCTGTGGCTGTCCATTGTCCAATGGCTGTTCTGTGGCTGTCCAATGGCTGTTCTATGGCTGTCCAATGGCTGTCCAATGGCTGTTCTATGGCTGTTCTATGGCTGTCCAGTGTCCAATGGCTGCTCTATGGCTGTTCTAATGACGTCCCTTCGGCTGTCTCATGGCAGTCCGGTCGTCCTATATGACCATCCTTTGACCGTCCCATGGCCGTCCTATGACCGTCCTAAGTCCTAAGGCATTCCTATATGGCCGTCCTATGACCGCCTTATTAACGTCTTATATGACCGTCCTATTAACGTCCTATATGACCGTCATATGACCGTCCCATGGCCGTCCTATGACCGTCCTATGACCGTCCTACGGCCGTCCCAAATGCCCGTCCGGCGGCCGTGCTATGCCCGTCGGGCGGCCGTGCTGTCGCTGCGAGGTCGCGCCGGTACACTCGGGGGGTGTGTCCCGCCGGCGTCGGCTCACTGTGTTTATCGGTCGCCCGGTACCGCCGCGCCGGCAGAGCGGCAGGCACGGACGGCCGGCCGCGCCGGAACGGTCAGCCGGGCAGACGGCCGACCTGGCCGGCACGCCGCTGCGCTGGCCAGTGGCCACCCACAACGGCGCCAACGCCCCCAATCACTAATCATCATCATCATCATCATAATTTATTTAGCATCGCATTGTGCGACAATTGATAACAATAAGTAATAACAGAGTGTAACAAGTCAACTGCAGGGCGGTCAGTAGCAGGTGAGCAGCCTTAGTAGTCGCCGGGATGCCTCGCAACTGCCTTGTAAAACAAACTTCAAGCTGTCTTTCAGGCCATCTGGCATGCGAGGAGTCCGAACCCGGTCACTATCTACCGGACCACCAGCGGCAAGTTCCAGCACTTCTCTGAAGTCATTGTTCAGCATGCCGATTACCTGCATCACGAATGAGCCCTCCAGTTCACTGGGATTCAGGGTCAGCTTTGCCAGTGAAGTGATGAGGGCTTGCTGTAGACGGTGGCGGGTGCACATCGCAGATCTGAAGGTGCGTAAGATTTCACCTCTCAATTCCTCTTGGACTGTGGGAATACCTGAGGCGTCCATCAAGGCGTAGTGATGTGCAGAGCGCGGAAGTCCAAACGCAGCCTTCACGCAGCTGGCTTGCACTTTGTCTAAGTGTTCCACATCAGCCGAGCGCAAGGCAGCCGTGCCGCAGCCGAATATCAAAACAGGTAAGAAACAATATATGTCAGAGAAGCCGTTACGGGCCTTACACATGCCAAACATTAACAAAATATCTCTAAAACTGCCAGAGATATAGCCATTTGAATGACTGAAAAAGTAGCAGATTTTTATGACCGACTTCTCGTCACTGTAAATTGAACTGATATGACCTTGTGTGACCTTGTTTCACCTTCGTATGACCTTGTTTGATATGACCTTGATATGACCCTGTGACGTCGGAGGTCAAATATCAAGGTCATCGATATCCTAGCTTATGCATTTCGATGAGCTCTTTCGAGTGCCGTTTGAATTTTTCCGATCCGTTTTTTTTTTGTTCCGGAGATACGAAAGGGGCCTTTTGCCCCCCCCCCCCAACAGGACGTGGAACCTGCTAAACCTCAACGGGGCGCGGGTTAAACCTCACCGGACCTATTGGTTTTCTACATACGACCCAGCCGAGGGAGGGGGGGGGGGACGACACCCTCGCCTTTTCGCCCCTAATTGCTTCAAATTGCTAGCAGCTTGGAGGAAAAACGAGTGTGTGTGCGCCGCTACGAGACGCAGCGATTGGTACCCGATTTCAAGGTATCAGGTCAACCGGTTATCTCTGAGGTCAGATCAATTGCCCCAAGGCGCAGTTTTTTGGGGGGGTAATGAACTTCGCCAAAAATCGTCGTAGAGCCGGGAATTTGGGACATTTGTGTTTATCTTGCTTAGGTGCATCGAATAGTATACTTTCTTTCGGGTAAGGTCAACTTTAAGTGTGGACCTCGGGTCAAGGTTAGGTCGACTTAAGCGCCACTCAGAGCCGCTCTGATCACAGCCACCCAGGTCACGAAGCTGCTCCAAAGAGGTCATATTGCATATCATTTGATTTGGCAGGTCTTCCCGGATCCGTTGAAGGCTTCCTCGATTCGCTCGCTCAATGTGATCGGGAGTTATTGACGAAAAACTTCAAACTCCTATGACCCTAGTGAAGCGATGCCAAAGTGAAGCATTCGACCTTGCAGGGAATGCGTGAAGTCATGATGTTATATGCTTGAGCTAGGTTTAGATCATACCTGTTGCAAAACTAACAGTTTCCATATTTATCTGTTGACGTATACCTTGTGGTGAGGCCACGTGACCGATCTGACCTTATGTGACCTTTAAGAAAAGTCCGAGATATACATGTTGTGAGACCTCTGGAGGATACTAGGTCCTGTACTTTTCATCTCCCTGTGAAAGCTTCTCTGGCACTAAGGGCGTTGCAAAGTTGCGACATTTTAGGACCGTGCAGAGGTTCACTTTTGACGTTATAGGTCAGTGGCCTGACCTGACTTGAAAATGCGGCTGGTGTTGCAAGATCCAGCTTGCATTAAAGGTCAGGTATGCTCAATTTCAGGTCTCTGTCGCCGGCGTGTTACGAGCTATCGCGAAAAATCTCTTTGAGGGGGACACCGCCTCCCCTCCCCCGGCTGGCGAGGGTTAATGCAACGCACTGAACTCTTATATATACTGGAAGGAGCATTGGTGACTTGTTTTTGTCTATCGATTTCCGCCATGTTGTGTATACCAGAAATATACAAATGTAAATTGCATGTACGGTAGCAGAGGTGCAGTTAAGTGAGAGGTACACTACTCAAAAGTGCTGCTGCTTCATGCTTGCAGTTTGATTGCAGTGATCAACTTTTCAAGACTTTGGTATACACAACATGGCGGAAATCGTTAGACATTCTGGCCCATATACGGCCAAGGCGAGTGCCTCCCCCTGATGCAACGCTAAAACTTTTTATTATCAGCTCCAGAGTTTATAATTACATCAGTTTTTTGTTCACCCCGAAATAAACTCAAATTAAATTATTTCGACATTATTATTCAGGATAAATCTAAAGCTATATTCTCGCCTCGAGGGGTTGCAAATATAACACATTATTATGCTCCACATGATAGAGGAGTACGGGATAGTTTAAAATTGAATTTGTACAATGTACGTGTACATATACCCTAGTGCAAATAATTGTCGTTCAGAAGCGTTTTTAATCCGGACTGTGCCGCTCATACCGTATCAATTTTCCGTGATATTGTTTCCGTGACTTGTTTTGCGCTCAGTCGGAATATAAATTGTGGTTGAATGGTCAATAACGTATATTGAAAACGTTGTCCTTGATTAGCAATCCTTGATTACCTCTGAATGTTAACTTCATGTTCACGCACACGTTACAATAGCGCTGTCATCAACACCACACGTGCACCGCTGTATGTTCCCTTCACTTAACTAGCTTCAGTAGCGTAACGTAGGCAACAGTATCTGGTTGGCATCTCTTTATGTGGAGCACTTCTCTTGATACTTATTTTGTCATTTTTAATTCTTGAAAGCAATAGTTTTACAACAATGATGTGGAACTGTTTTGTTGTTTTACTATTGAATCAGCGAGTGTTGTCGCGCGGTCGTCCGGAGATGAGTGACAGGAGCTGGCCTCGTCCCCAGGTCGTGCTCCACTCCAGGAGAACAGGAGCAGGAGTTGACCGGTGAGTGTCCCAGAGCCGGCAGCAGCTCTCACTGGTGAGTGGTGGGGAGTTGGAGTTGACCGGTGAGTGTCCCAGAGCCGGCAGGAGTTCACTGGTGAGTGGTGGGGAGTTGGAGTTGACCGGTGAGTGTCCCAGAGCCGGCAGCAGCTCTCACTGGTGAGTGGTGGGGAGTTGGAGTTGACCGGTGAGTGTCCCAGAGCTGGCAGCAGCTCTCACTGGTGAGTGGTGGGGAGTTGGAGTTGACCAGTGAGTGTCCCAGAGCCGGCAGCAGCTCTCACTGGTGAGTGGTGGGGAGTTGGAGTTGACCAGTGAGTGTCCCAGAGCCGGCAGCAGCTCTCACTGGTGAGTGGTGGGGAGCAGGAGTTGACCAGTGAGTGTCCCAGAGCTGGCAGCAGCTCTCACTGGTGAGTGGTGGGGAGCAGGAGTTGACCAGTGAGTGTCCCAGAGCCGGCAGCAGCTCTCACTGGTGAGTGGTGGGGAGCAGGAGTTGACCAGTGAGTGTCCCAGAGCCGGCAGCAGCTCTCACTGGTGAGTGGTGGGGAGCAGGAGTTGACCGGTGAGTGTTTCCCTGGCCGCGAACAATGGTTGGTAATATCGTCAATCAGCGAAAGTGCTCCGTCATACACAATAGTCTTCTGACCAGTCACAAGTGACTATATGTAGTTCGTTTTTTTATGTGTTCGACTCTCACTCTAATCGTCTCGTTGAGCACAGCACGATAATTGCTAGCTGAATTACTGAGGAAACTGGTTGGCGCACATTGATTTCACACACGATCAATTTTTGTCAAAATTCTTTCCACCTGGCTCCTGTTTCCCTGACTCATGCTGTGTTCAAAAGGGTGTTTACAGTGAAGGTCGAACTCAATGAAAAACCGAACTATAGCTGCCTGACGGAGAATTTCCCACTCTGGTGTCCATTTTGTAATTGTTTCTCGTGTGTTGTGGAGAGCTGAGTTATAGATGTGGGACGGTCAAGGCGGATGTGGTAAATCCAGGCGCGTGCCCGGTGGAGGCGCCGCCCCTCCGCAGAACAGAGCCGGCACTTCCCCGTCAGACTTAGGTCGCTGACATCTGTTCTCTGAATATGCTCTGTTCTCTGAACTGTTTTCTGCGGAGCGTATAGGACGCCAGACTCGGGCCGACCAGCGGCCGCAGGTAGGGCTGGAATGCCCGCTCGCCGCACGGCACAGTCGTGTTAAATGATAGAACGCGACCCGTTTCAACTACATCGAAGTTGAGGCCATCCTATGATAGAACACAACAAATGTGATGTAAATGAAATTATGAATAGCATTTCATTCAAGTCAGCACCTATCCGCTCACCTCTCACCTTTAGCGCAGTAGGCGTGGCACGTTTCCAGCAGTGGCTGTGCAAGCAAGCACAAAGAGCAAGGTCTCCGGAAGCTTCTAGTTACTGAATATTGAATAAAACTTTAATTGATAGCACAGGGCCTTTGCTCAGATTTGGCAATACCGATGCGGGAAATGGCGAACTTTGACATCGTCTGTATATTTCTCAACCTTCTCTGGATAATAAATATGTACGTTCAAACTTACGTGTTAAACTCACTTACCCTACGGCCTAGTTTTTTACCTATACATTTAGTTACTAAATTAAATGTAGCAGTGATTTGATTTTAATATTTTCGTTACAGGTAAGTTCTGTTTTGTGCACCATGGGTAGTGGATACCTACATTGGTTTGGTCTTTAACAAATGATGCAAATGAAGCAAATAATGCTACATTGTAGCATTATTTTTGTTAAACGTTTGTTAAAAACAGTCCTTCTTATAGGGAATGAGGTAATAATATCCTTTAAGACAGGAAAACTTAACCAAATATTATGCCAAACGAATCTGTCGGAAAATACCAATAACCGATTTGACTTTATTGTTGTTGTTAATCGGTGATTAATCAAACCGGTCAATAAATCAAATTGTTTGTGTCAATACCATCAGATAATACATAGCTGATAATTCATTAATCCTGATTATAGGTATTGGCTTTGCAATACCTACTAATCACCACATTAGTGCTGATTAAGCATTAGTTTAAAAATACTTGGTATCCGATTGATACGGCTGTGTAGTTATGGTATGTGTTATCGCTCGCCTGAAACGTTATTTCACTGTTCTAATGTTTCAGATTGGCGTCGGTTACTGCCTTCAATTTGTTTTGCCGAAAATGTTGCGACTTGTGCTTACCTAGACTTTATGCCTATACCTTTATGCCTCAGTTATACTTCGTTCCTTAGTTGTGACAATCCAACTAAATTACGTTTTCATTTGCTCACCCTTAAAGGATTTTTTTAAAAATATGAATAGAGACAAAATCTCGTTTTTTATCCCATCAAGTTGTATGTTGTGTTGATGCGCTGGGACAGTCGGACAGTTGTATGTTGTGTTGATGCGCTGGGACAGTCGGACAGTTGTATATTGTGTTGATGCGCTGGAACAGTCGGCCAGTTGTATGTTGTGTTGATGCGCTGGGACAGTCGGACAGTTGTATGTTGTGTTGATGCGCTGGGACTGTCGGCCTGTGACCGGGTTGTCTGGTTGTGTTGTCTATGTTGTGTTGTATATGTTGGTTGTGTTGTGTATGTTGTTTTGATGCGCTGGGACAGTCGGCCTGTGACCGGGTTGTCTGGTTGTGTTGTCTATGTTGTGTTGTCTATGTTGGTTGTGTTGTGTATGTTGTGTTGATGCGCTGGGACAGTACAGTCGACCTGTGACCGGGACCGGGCTGTGTTGTCTATGTTGGTTGTGTTGTGTATGTTGTGTTGATGCGCTGGGACAGTACAGTCGGCCTGTGACCGGGACCGGGCTGTGTTGTCTATGTTGGTTGTGTTGTGTGTGTTGTGTTGATGCGCTGGGACAGTCGGACAGTTGTACGTTGTGTTGATGCGCTGGGACAGTACAGTGGGCCTGTGACCGGGATCGGGGTGTCTGGTTGTGTTGTCTATGTTGTGTTGTCTATGTTGGTTGTGTTGTGTATGTGGTGTTGATGCGCTGGGACAGTACAGTCGACCTGTGACCGGGTTGTCTGGTAGTGTTGTCTATGTTGTGTTGTATATGTTGGTTGTGTTGTGTATGTTGTTTTGATGCGCTGGGACAGTCGGCCTGTGACCGGGTTGTCTGGTTGTGTTGTCTATGTTGTGTTGTCTATGTTGGTTGTGTTGTGTATGTTGTGTTGATGCGCTGGGACAGTACAGTCGGCAGCTGTGACCGGGACCGGGGTGTCTGGCCGGCAGTTCAAAAGGACCCGATGGCGCGCTACCACGCACACAGGGAGTTCGCTGACCGACGGGTCAAGGTGCAGAGCGCTCGCACCTACTTCTACATGAACGAGGCGCAGTGCGAAAAGAACATGGAGACGTTCCTCAAGAGTATCGAGGCTGTGTCAGGTGAGTTCGATTGGACGACTGATCTTCAAACAAAATTGTCGCTTTGTCTGCGCTATGAAGCCTCAACCCGCGCCCCGTTGGAATCTGCCGAGCAACGCGCCCTTAGGGGGGGGGGGGGGGCATTCCCCCCTAAGATCACGAGAACCACGCGACATAGCGACAAGCAGCAAACGGTGTTGGATAGCATAATCCGAGCGTGCAACTACCTTGTGACCCTATTTCATTGACCTAGGTTAAACCGATGACGTCACAGGTCAGTTTAAATGTCAAATTTTCGCCGTTTACAGACATTTCAAGAAATGTGTTGTAAAATCGAGTAAAATGCATTTCATTGAAAATCATCGATGGGGATTTGTTCGTCAAACACATATTGTGCTATTTGAGATCACTGATGCCAGATCAGGTCACAGAGGTCAGGTCACTGAGGGTCACAATATGAAAATATCATGTGATACATGTTTTATGGTCCATTTTTACATGACAAATGCGATTATGTGGGTCAGGCAGCCTTTGGGGCGAGTTTAGGCTATGTCCTGGTTAAGGTCAGGTCAAGGCCAGGTTAAATAAGGTCAAACTTCAAAGTTGATATTTTTGCATAAACTGAGTAGTGAGTATCGATGCAGCTCGTCACGGGGAGTCTAATAGCAGTAGCGGCGAAACACCTTCAATTAAGGGGGGGGGGGGCACTGCCGACTATTGGTCCCATTATTTCCATGTAACGCCCATAGGGCTAATGTTAAAATGCCAAAATCAAAGGGGACACGGTGCCTCGGTGCCCTCCCCGTTCCGCCGCCTATGTCTCAAAGTGGTCTTTGTTTTGCGCTACGTGGTCTAGAATTGCTAAAAATTGAATTAAAAAAATTGACGTCAGCAATTTTGAACAGTTTTTTTTAAACTATAACTTGGCGAAAATAGGAGGTATCGATCTTACAGTTGGTATGGAGATAATATATATATATATATATATATATATATATATATATATATATATATATATATATATGTTACAGGCAAAGTGAAAACTCGGGCATTTTGCAAAATGCCTAGGCAATTTGCAAAATGCCTGACCCGCCAGGCATTTTGCAAAATGCCCAGGCAGTTTGCAAACTGCCTGACCCACCAGGCATTTTGCAAACTGCCTAGGCATTTTACAAAATGCCTGACCCGCCAGGCATTTTGCAAAATGCCTGGGTTTCCATATATTCCACCGTTTTTGTTTACTACAGCCGTTGATCATAAACGTTCCACTGTGACTGACCCCACAACACATTTCACATGTGTTGTGTTCACATTGACACATTCCACGGTCACGAATACGGGTGTCACGAAATTCTTGCGGGATGTTGTACTGGTGTCCCGAAATGTATTGCATCGTAGTTGCGTCAGTGTTCTCCAGCACCTCGCTGACAAGTTATCAGCGGCCACATGGTCTGTCCCCGCGGCACCTGGTGAAGCTCAAATAGGCCTCTGTAGCCCATCATGCCCCAAACGAGAATCCCCAGTGCCCAGTGGGTGCTTCACCGCCTCGACGGTGCAGCACCTCTGAGCTGCTGTTGGCCCAGAACTGCTTGTCGGGACGGTTAGTGACTAAGAAGAGCTCTAATAGCCGTTTTCACGACGGGCTATCCGGTGAGTGCACCTAATTTGACCAAATATGCACCTAATCTCTCTTAATACAGCAAATATCTTTATTTTATGAATTTAGTTCAGTGTTTTAACCGATGATGCTCTCTGATAATATGACAAAGGAGGTATATAAGCAATTAGTACAACCCTAGCTGATAGCTATTGAGAGACACACTGAACCTAATTTGACCAAATATGCACCTAATCTACACCAGATGTGAACCAAATGTGTACCAGATGGCCGTCGTGAAAACGGCAAATATCGCCTCACGTCCTCATTATCCGGTAAGTCCGGTAAGTCAGGGTTGCAGCCTGAGGCTGAGCGGCTTCAGCTTCAGGGTAAAATCTTCAGATACCGGGGGATGGCCGATTTAGATGCCGAGTGCTCTGGACCAGATGCCCTGGTGCCGGACCCGTTAAAATTACATCCATTCAGCACTCAGGAGGGACATGTAGGGACAAGACCACGCCAACCGCGTATCAAGTTCGTGACACTCTGTATACCTATACGTTTTGCGTCAATTCTGTCGAGATGGAGCCAACGCTGAATGGACTTGAGCGACCGTCTCCGTACCTTTCGTATATGCGGAGTTGTAGCCGTGTGTATAAAAGCTGCGATGTCCAGTATTCTGCCCTGGTGGGCAGCTGTTGCGGCAGAGACGATTGATAATGTACCTAAACGTGTAACAATCAAATTTTCGTAAATTGGAAGAGTATTCTTTTCTGATCAATATCCACCCATAGTATTTTCAAAAAGCCACCAAGAGCTCTTAGAAACAGTACAATCATTGTACCGAGCGCATGTTTACTCACGAAACCACGCCCGGTGCTTGGCACCCGACGGCCGCTGGGGCTCAGTGACCTGAACTCGGCGGCGCTACCCGGAGAACGCAGTGTCCCCTCACTTGGTGCGCATTGACAGCGATTAACAGCGAGTAAGCGGCAGTTACAAATGATGCTTACCTATACATCGTCGCTAGTGCGAGTTTGATGTCAGGCATTTTGCAAAATGCCTGGGAAAATATTTCAGGCAGTTTGCAAAATGCCTGGTGTGTCAGGCAGTTTGCAAACTGCCTGGGCATTTTGCAAAATGCCTGGCCGGTCAGGCATTTTGCAAATTGCCTAGGCGTTTTGCAAAATGCCCGAGTTTTCACTTTGCCTGTAACATATATATATATATATATATATATATATATATATATATATATATATATATATATATATATATATATTCCGTTTTTTTTTGCGAAATTCGAAAAAAATTGGGATTTTTTTGCGTTTTTCTTTTAAAAATCAGTTTCTTATTTTTTTCGGTCAAAATCCAAAACTTTGAAAATTCGAGAGTACAGTTTTGTAGCGCCGTCTTTTCTCTACACAGCCACATAAAGAATTTTGAAATTGCTTGTTAACCCGCGCCCTGCTGGGGGTCCTGGATTTCCACGCCCTGCTGGGGGGGGGGGGGGTGTTTGAACACCCCCCCTTGTAACTCGGCTCCTGGGCCACGTAGCGATACGCGGAAAGCGGCGTTCGAAAGAGCGTAAAAAATAATGACGAAATCACTTCGGTCAATTTTTTGGTCAGGTCAAAGGTCAGGTCACCAGAGGTCATTGAAGGCAAAATTTCGCCGATTTCCAGGTCGAATGTCGAAATTTTCCAAGAAGCCAACGCATAACACGGGAACCAATAGAGCTACAGCGCCGCGGAAAAGCGCATTCGATAGCCCTATTAACGCCCTTTCTGAGTAATTCTCTCAGATTTGACCTAACGTCAACAGTTTTGCCTGCAGGGGGCAAAAACTGCAAAAATAGCCGATTTTTTCGAAAACAGTTTTTCTGCAATAACTTTTGACCCAAGCCTTGTACGAGCTTACTTTTACCGGCATCGTGTTCCTCTCGTCAAGACGCATCGAATGAACTATGTCTTGACCTTGAAAGGTCAACTTGAAAATTTGACCTCAGGTCAAGGTCATGACCTGACCGGAAAGGGTCATGTTGCATATCAGTCGATCCGTATCGTCGAGCTGAACACATCTAAGGCGTTTTCATCGCTCTAGCATGCCTCTATCAAAAGTTATTTGCGAAAAACTGTTAGATACCATTCGTGACCTAAGATGACCTCAGGGCATAAACAAGGGTCACGGACACCATTTTCAAGTTCAGTGTGTCTAAACCACTTGTAATTCGGTGTTTGGGAGTGTTTATAATGTCTTTCATCCAAAAGAGGCGCATTTCAATTTTCTCCCATTGACTTATAATGGGGAGGTCGCAAAATTGACCTGACCTTAGGTCATCGATATCAAAATTCTGAGATAAACATTTTGTACATGCTATTGCTCTTAGCAATCGCTGAAAGTTTCAAAGCGATCGGTCACTCGGTGTAGCTATGACAGACATTGAAAGTTTTTATGAGGTGAGGTCACTTCAAGTGACCTGGTGACCTGACCTTGAATGACCTTGGTCTGAAATTTTCACAACATGTGTAGAATTGATGTATGGTAAGGTGTACCAAAAACGGCGGCGCTCCGCGCCGCCGTTTTTGAGATATTCGCGAAAAACCACAGGGGGGGTGTTCAAACACCCCCCCCCCCCCCAGCAGGGCGCGGGTTAACTGCAGCTTTTGTGGGCGTTTCAAGATTTCATGTTTTTTGATCATTTTTGCTGGAACATGACCTCAGTTTGACCTCAATGACTCCTGACCTAAGGTGACCTAAGGCTTGAAATTTTGTGTGAAGGTGTCAAATTGATGTCCGGAAAGGTACTGAAAATTTTGCGGCGCCGTTTTCTTGCTATTCAGGAAAAACCACAGGAAAAATTATTATTTTATTTTCTTTTTTTTTCGTTTATTTAGAAGCCAAACAACTGAGGACGAACGCATCTCATAACAAAACACAGGAAACGATGAGCACACAAACTGTTTCCCGAGTGGGGATGGACAGGGTCAGTGTCCCACTGTACCTAGCACTGTACATATTAGCACTGTTCGTTGTCATGGCATTTTTAGAGCACACATACAGAGTTCACACGTTTTGTCGTCGCTCGGTAGCCAACACAGCGGACGAGCACAGGGCGACCGCGCCGGCGGCAGCAGCAGCGACAGGGCCGCCGCGGGCAGCCGACGCGGAGGACCGGGCGGGCAGAGAACGGAGGGCGGGCGAATCCGGACCAGACGGCCGGCGCAGCCAGCGCCCCACCCCCACCCGGGACCCGGTGCGCGCCGGAAGAACAATGGACTCAGTTGTCAAGGAACAAGGACTCGAAATGGGTTGTGAATTATCTGTTTCTCTTGATATGTTTGCAAGCCTGCCCCATTTAAGGACATGTGACTGCATTGAGTTTGATTTCAACGCGTAACGCTCTTCATTTGATGCTTCAATT